ACATCCAAAATCGTGGAAAATCAAAGTCTTTGCCTCTTGGGGCCCTCTGGGGAGCGCTGGAGCAGGCGACCACACGAAAATAATTGAAAAACCAATGAGGATCAATAATTGTCGCCCCTTGGGCCTCTTTCGGTGAGCAGTTTGCAGCTCTCTTGGGGCGTCTTTGAGGCCACGTTGGCCGTCTCCAAGCAGCGGTCGGCGTGCTGGGGGCGTTCGGCGCCCTCTGGGAACCCTCGAGAGCTCCTTTTGGTGACCTCTGGGCCCCACTGATATCCTTTTCGCGGGTCCAGGCTTGTTTGGCCCTACATGCCACACTGGGGCACCGGTCTGCCCCCCCCCCCCCCCCCCCCAAGTTCACACGCACACACACACACATGTATATATGCATATACACACATGTGTATTATCATATATGCAAATATATAGACATACCTATAAACATAATGTACATATACATGTGCATCTACATTTACATATACACATACATATACACATAACATGCACCCACATTTAAGCATTACGTATGTAAATCCATGTACATGCACACACGCACTTACATGTCCACATGCATATGCATTTATATATCCATAAACCAATACAAATGCATGTAACTATGCATGTATATGTACATATAAATATACATATACATACACACCTGCATATATATATATATATATATATATATATATGCATCTGCATATACATATACGTATACATAAACATACACACATATAACATGTGCATACGTATTTCCAATACAATACACTAACGTATGTAAATCCATATGCATGTGATATACAAACTCATGTAACCATACGCATACACATACAAATACATACACCTATACCTAGCATTGCACATAAACATATACATACAACTGTACATAAACACCTAGATATGCCTATACAACTAAATTTACATCCACACACACATTGAAAGATACCTAAACCGATACACATACATATTTACATATGTGCATACCCATATGCACATACATATGCATATGCCTATACGTCATGCACATACGCATGCACGTATACATATACAGTTACGTATTCAGATGTATCTGTGCATCTGCGTATAGCTATATGTGCATACAAACATATTCATATACACGTACATCTACACGCACACACACACATACATAGTCAGCTAGATTTACAAATACAAATACAAAACCAGATACATATACATCTACATCTACACACATAGACATTCATAGACATAGCCATAGCCATAGAAATTGGCATTACATGAGCTTACAAGTGTACATAAACCCGATACGAATACAGATGCGTACACATATGCATATACATATGCATGTACATACACATGCACACACGAGTATACACATACATTACACATAGCTGGACATGTATGAATCCACGTGCATATACCTCTAAATATACATATATCTATTCCTGTACACGTACATGCACACATACTTACATAGTTACAAGCACACATACGTACATATATACATCTACATGTACATACATATACGCACATGCATATAACAGTATACGTATGCATGCTAACCATAACCTATATATATATATATATGTATATATGTGTTCACGATTGCATCGACGTATCCGTATGCATATACATATGCATGTGCACCTACTGTTATACATACAACGTACATGCATACATTCGTGCATGCACATGTATATATATATATATACGTATACACATGCATGCATACACGACAACGATACAGGTGCATCTATATGCACAAAGTCACGCGTATAACTAAGCGTGTATATATCAACACATACGTATTTACACACTGGCATACATACACACATACAGCACCTCGGCATAGGAGGCGATGAGCATGAGACGCGATGTGCTGCAAGCAGAAGCGAGCAAAGCCAATGCACGGCGATGCGAGAAAGTAGAGTTCAAGGTAACCTGAAGCAAAATGAACCAGCAATAATACGAAGCACGAAACAATACACATGGACGTTCGACGCTAATGAATTGACGCACTGCAGTTCAATGAAATGGGTTGCGAAGGGCCGATAGAATCCCCGGACTCCCGGGAACTCAGAGATCCCAACGACGGGAAACCCAACAAATAGATCCCAGGGAAACAGGCTAAAGGTCGCAAATGCCATCGATTCTCTTCCGCAAGCAAAGGCAGGGAGGACAGAGGAACGGGCAGGAAGAGGGAGGAGGGAGAAACGAGGAGACAGGCGGAAGGAAGGATGAGAAATGACTCAGGCAGGGGCGATTGGAGGCAGGATAAACGGAAGAAGCATAGCGTCCACCAGCCCATGTCGACACACTCTTCACCCGGATCGGATCCCCCAAGGAACAACATCTACGACCCCAGAAAGACGCAGGGCTCACATAGCGTCACCCAGCCAATTGGGGGACGCCCCTCGCAAAGATCGCGCCCCTGTGGGAGCTCCACTGGCGGTGCCAGAGTCAACAATCGCACGGCGCCCCTTCCGCCAGTGTCGCCACACCCTACACACGGAACGTGCCCCACTGAGAATTCCACGTGCGGCACCACTGGGAAAATTCGACTAGCGTCCTCACGCATATGTCGATTCACCCCTCGAGCGGGTCGTGTCCCGCAAAGAGCTCAATCGCCAGCTCCGGAATCAAGATTCGCATCCGCTCCACCCATAGCGGGACACTCCTGGTAGGGAGGGCGACAGACGAATCAAACCATCTAGTAGCTGGTTCCCTCCTGAGTTGCCCTCAAAATAGCTGGAGCTGGAACTGAACAGCTGTACCCGGCAAAGCGAATCGTTGGAGGAATCGGGGGCGCGTTGTCCTCGACCTGTTCTCAAGCTGTAAATGAGTAAGATCAAATTGTTACTTGGGCGAACGTCTAGGATACATGGCAACCCTGGGTGGGCCATTCTGGTAAGCAGAACTGGCGATGAGGAATAAACCGAACGTTGGGTTAAGGTCCTTAACTGCTCGCCCGCCAGATAGCATGAAGGGAGCTGGTTCATTTTAACAGCAGGACGTTGGTCATGGAAGCTGAAATCTGCTAAGGAGCGTGTGACCTCTCCTCTGCCGAATGGACTATCCCCGAAATTGATAGCATCCAAGTGGGTGACCGGTACCCAACCATAGTTGCAGTTATTTTGCACAAGTGAATAGGAGGGCATGGGTGGGTTGTGACGATGCGTTTGGCGTAAGCCTGGGAGGAACAGCGGCGAATGCTGATGTTGGCGGCAGATGCAAGAATGCAAATGAGGACCTTGAACACCGAAACGGAAAGGGGCCCCAGGCGCTCCCGCGAAATGGCCCAAGATGAGGCGCTCTTGGGGTCCGTTTGAAGCCCTCTTGGCGCGACCTGGGGCCCCCCGTCTGCTCTCCTGAGGCCTCTTGGGCTTGGGGTAATCCTGGGGTCCTCGGAACCCTTGTGGAAACACTTCGGTGGGCCTGGGGTCCGACTGGGGCGGCGGCGGAGCCATCTTGGGCCACTCCCGAGACCTCCTGGAGCCGTTATGGGCCGTCTCGACGCCCGCGGAAATCCCATGAGCGCCCGAAAACGCTCCACGAGGCCCCCTACCCGGCGGGACCCCTCGGGCCAGCGCCATACTCGCGGACAGTGGCGCTTGCCCGCGGTCCAAGGTCCCCGCGCGAAAGACGCGAGATGGGGGTATCTCGGGGCTCTCTTGTGCATCATTGAACGTTTTCGGGGGTTGCGCGGGATCTGTCCTGAGGGTCCTGGGGGTTGCGCTGGAGGCGACATGGGCTGTCTAGGGCGGCCCTGGAGGCCCGGGGGTTCGACCCGCCTCCCGATCGCCCAGAGTCGTCTGTAAGGCCCGAGGGGGTATGGGCCCAGTCCCTCGTCACTCTATGCATTTTCAAACGCAGGAGCGAATCAAGGAAAATGCGTTGAGGCCAGGACAATCGATCGCCCGCCACATAACATTTTTGCGGGGAACGGGCCCCGATGCCTTCGGCCACCACGACAGCAGGACGAACGCCGCGAACGACGATTGCAATTCCCACCTCCGCGTTACCGCAGGAATGCGCTTGCACAGGGGAGGTGGAAGTCGCCCAGACGACAAATGCTGCTACTAATCCTCGAAAGCGCGACCCCCGTCGACGGTCGAGACATGTGAACATTGCAAGCATCTGAATGACTCGACTGCAACCCTCCGCAGGGAAAAAACACAACCCCAGACAAATGAGCGCGCGGTTTCGGCGAGACGTGAAATATGTTTTGCGCGTCGGGGGGCCCGCGGGAGATCATTCTGGAGGCCCTGGAGCCCCAAAATACTGCTGTGATGAAGTTCGAGACGTGGACTGGGCCCGTTCCTCGGGTCCTGTTTGGGCCCCCCTGGGGGTCTCTGCCCCCGTCGCCCGCTCGGTCGACATCGTCCACATGCTGTATCGTGGAGCCGCGATGGTATCCGTGCTCCTCACACCGTTCGCCCGCGCTGCCTGCATGGACCCGCACCAATATTCCCATCACAAAATATAACATCTCCTCTAGTGGTTACCTCCTGGTCCGTCTGTGGATCATCCAGCTATCCTGGCGCAACGCCGTTCGAGAGAACTTCACCAAGAAATCCAGTGGTGCAGGCTGTCGTGGTCAGCAAGCAATCTTCGCTGTGAGTGAGGAATGAGTCAGGAACGCGGGTCGCTGCCTCTCCGAAAACAGATGCCCCCGAACCTGCAGGAGGCGAAGCTAATTTTCAAGCTGGCCCCCGGGAGAGGTCGGTGATCCCCTCTCGCCCGCACGCGCAGCTTCGCCACACCCGCACGGGCGACGCGAACTGGACCGATTCCAGGCACGGGTCGCTCCCTCCCCCTTCGGCCGCACTCCGCCCAGCCTTCCGTCTCAGAATGTCTGGCTCCCGCCCTGGCCGGACCGAGATGGCTTCTCAGAGGCGACGATAGGGACGAATAGCCCAGGTGCGCCGATGGTCTACGTCTTCGGAAAGGCAACCGGGCGAATACGTGTAATGCCCGCCCCTCTTTGCTCTCCCCATCCTACGGTTCCCTGTTCCGACCCAAGTCTGGCTGGACCGAGATGGCTTCCACTGAAACGCTCGACGGCCTCAGGGCCGCCCTGGGCTCAGGAGGCCCACGAGGGCCCCGGAGACCGTCGTGGTGGACATCCGGACTCGCAGGAGGCGATCGCATGCTGCGGCGTCGAGGGGTGAGGAATTGTAATGCTCTATGTTGCTCGGCTGGACGGCATCGAGACGCCCGGCTGCCGCGCTCAGCATCCCAGCTGCGCGGCCCCAAAACTCACTGTACATTAGCAGCACAACATTGAATTCCTCCCAAGACCCCTGGAAACGATCCGGCGCCTGAAGGGAGACTGAATTACCTACAGCATGCAAATGCGAAGAACTGTCGCTCCTCAGACTTTAGCATCGAAGGGCTGCTACCCTGTGCAGCAGCCGCTTCAAAAAACATCACGCTACATCGGCGGGGTTGCCGCGTGGCCAGTCCGTCAGACGGCCAGAAAGTATACCTAATTACCGACGAGGCTTAAGGCGGGATCCCCGCCAGGCCTCGACGCAGCAGGCCATAGCTAAATACCCAAAAGCGCCAAGCAACGCGCGGAGTCAGCCCTGCACAGCTGTCAGCTGTCCTTGGATCGTTCAAGGCCCAGCCGCCAAAAAAGCATGGGGAGGGGACACGGCCACCGACGCGCGGAGACTCAGCCCTGGCTGAGCGCGAGGCGGGAGTTGGCGGCGCGCAGGACAAGCGAGGGTTGGCGGGGGGTGCTCCCGAGAAGCCTCACGAAAGGCCTCGGACGCCCTCCCGCAAGGCACACCCCTGCGCCCACCCTGCGCCCACCCTGGAGACCGCCCAAACCGGGTCGAAGTAATCAGACAGGGTCGCACCGCCGATGCATCGCCGATGCGCTGGCGACGTCGGCGCGAAGATCATCGGGCTCCACATCAAGCCGCACCCCCGATGCATCGGCGATGCGGCGCGATCCCCCGACCCCATCTACTTCGATCCCGTCGGGGCGGCCGACGCACACACACACACACACACAACAAAGAATTCCGACTTTTTAAACAAAATTGACCTCTGGACGTCTGGACCCCTTCCCCGGGACCGGCTTTCCTCACGGTGTCTTCGTTTAACGGCCCTGGGGCCCGGCAAGGGACCCCGGAAGCCGAAACAGCCCAAAACCTTCTGCCGTGACTTTCCCACAACGAGAGCAGGTGTGGGCACCGCGCTAGTGCGCGCCGCCATGGGGACGAGAAGGCCGGCCCGCGCTGACCCCGGAGACGGCTGGGCCGCCGCCGCTCCTTCGGCAGCGGCAGGCCTGGCCATGGACGAGGGGCAACGAGAGGGGGGGGACCAGCTCAGGGGGGAAACATCGAGCTGGAATCGGCGACACATCGCCGACAGATCGGCGATAGGCCCTTGATAGCGAAACCGCATGTTCCTGGGCGGGGTCGGCTATCGGGCCCCTCTCGGCGATGAATGGGCGATTCCCCCCCGGAGCCCAGTCCGCCCTAACGTTGCCCCTCAATGGGGCAGTGCTGCCAAACCCAGTGCCGAGCACCGGAGACCCCTCGCCGCAAAGCGTCTGGCTTCCGCCGCGCGGGCCCTTCGCTAGGCTCTTCGCTGCGCGTTAGACGCCCAAAGATCCAAGGCATCGAAGAAATCAAGGCGGAGGTTTTTCGCCGTTTTCGGCCTCTGGAGGCCCGCGCCGGGCCCTGGGACTGTCAAAAAACCAGCCCTGGGAAAGGGGTCGCGACTTCCAGGAATCCCGCATTGACAAAATCCAGACATTGGATCAATGGGCGGGGGGTCGGTCAGTCCATGCCCATGTAGCGGCTCCCGCTCTTCGGGCTCCTGCCCGGGGCCAGAGGGGGAGCAAGGGGAGGAGGGGGGGGGGATGGGGGCGGGAGGGGAGGAGGGAGAGGGGGGGGGCCTCCCGTTGCTGGGGAGTACCAGACTTCCCTCCTCCTCCTCCTCCTCCTCCTCCCCCTCGTCCTTCTCCGATATGAGTGGGCATGCATATATAGAAAGCCATGTGTATAATGTGTATATATATATATACACAGATAGAGAAGACACACAAAGGCGACTGAGAAAGAGAGAGACAGTGGAGAAGGATGTGGCAGGGACGAGAAACGCGAAAACGAGCAAATAATAAGAAGAAGCGCGTAAAAGAGTACCTGGGCCCGCAGCACCACTGGCCAGCACCGCCAGCACAACAAATGCGATGTGTAGTACAAGATGCAGGGGCGCACAAGCCACACGACGACGCTTATCCGTATCAGGTATATCTGGGCCAATCATGCGTGCAGAAACCCTCAGGTCCTACGGCAGCGGATTCTGCACACACACCAGGCCCAAGAAACGCGCGGTTCTTGAGAAAGCAGCATCTCGGCCACTCAGCTAATGACTGCTCGAACAGAATATGGTAGAGCCTGTTTGAGAAGAGTAGAAGAGAAAAGAGTCGAGACGAGTCGGGTAGAGTCGGGTCGAGCAGTCTAGTGCGATGTATAATACGGCAGAGTGATGCGATTCAGCGTAGCCCAGCAGAGCAGAGTCGAGGCGAGTGGAGTCCAGCAGACTTAAACAGAGTCGAAAGAAGCTAAGTAGATAATTATCCCAGTGCGACCCTACCTAGGAGTTGGAACCCCTAGGAAAGCAGCATTAGTAGTAACAGTAACGCTAAGCTAAAGCTAAGCTAAAGCTAAGCTAAAGCTAAGCTAAAGCTAAGCCACATCTAAGCTAAAGCTAAGCTAAAGCTAAGCTAAAGCTAAGCTAAAGCTAAGCTAATTAAGCTAAGCTAAAGCTAAGCTGCTAAGCTAAGATAAAGCTGAAACAGCTAAGCTGAAGCTAAGCTAAGCTAAGCTAAAGCTAAGCTAAAGCTAAGCTAACGCTAAGCTAAAGCTAAGCTAAAGCTAAGCTAAGCTAAAGCTAAGCTAAAGCTAAAGCTAAGCTAAAGCTAAGCTAAAGCTAAGCTAAAGCTAAGCTAAAGCTGAGCTAAAGCTAAGCTAAAGCTAAGCTAAAGCTAAGCTAAACGCTAAGCGAAAAGCTAAGCGAAACGCTAAGCTACAGCTAAGCTGAAGCTAAGCTAAAGCTAAGCTAAAGCTAAAGCTAAAGCTAAAGCTAAAGCTAGGGGAACCGCCCGGGGCGCTTTCCACTGCCCGGCCCCTTTAAGCTAGAGTAAGAACCCTTCTAGGCAGAGCCTAGGTAGGGAAAAAAGAGTAGGAGTACGGTCGAGTAGAGTCGAACATCATATAAAATACTCGAACCGCGGTGTCATATGATCAAGTATAGCACAGTCGAATTCAGCACAGTCGAGCAGAGTAGAGCCGAGCAGGGTGGAATACCATGGAGCCGCCGATGGGTTTCCCATAATTCGCGGCGGCGAGAGGGGTCCAGGTCTCGAATTATGGGAAACCCATCGGCCGCCAGAAACCCCTAGGGAATATGGCGGCCGATGGGTTTCCCATAATTCGCGGCGGCGAGCGGGGTCCAAATCCCGAATTATGGGAAACCCATCGGCCGCCAGAAACCCCTAGGGAATATGGCGGCCGATGGGTTGCGGCCGATGGGTTTCCCATAATTCGCGGCGGCGAGCGGGGTCCAAGTCCCGAATCATGGGAAACCCATCGGCCGCCAGAAACCACAAGGGAATCTGGCGGCCGATGGGTTGCGGCCGATGGGTTTCCCAGAATTTGCCCACGCCAGTGGCCCCGTGGAATTTCACATAATCCAGGGCGCCGCGCAATTATGGAACATTCGTATTCGAATTCGCTCACGCAATGGGGCCACCGAGCAGGATCGAGATTCAGACTTATGGGAAACCCATCGGCCGCCAGAACCCCCTGGAGCATCTGGCGGCCGACGGGTTTCCCATAATTCGCGGCGGCGTGCGGGGTCCAGATCCCGAATTCTGCCAGAAACCCCTGGGGGAATCTTGCGGCCGATGGGTTTCTCATCATTCGCGGCGGCGAGCGGGATCCAGATCCCAAATCAAGGGAAACCCATCGGCCGCCAGAAACCCCTAGGGCATCTGGCGGCCGATGGGTTTCCCATAATTCGCGGCGGCGAGCGGGGTCCAGATCCCGAATCTTGGGCAATCCGTGGCGGCGAGCGGGGTCCAGATCCCGAATTATGGGAAGCCCATCTGCCGCCAGATTCCCCAGGGGTTTCTGGCGGCCGATGGGTTTCCCATAATTCGGCGGGGACATTTCTGGGAAACCCTTCTGGCGACCGATGGGTTTGCCATAGTTCCAGGAAGAGCTTTTCGGAGGTCGTGGGGGTCGCGTCTGACGCCCTGCGACCTCGGGTTTCCCATGACTCGCCTTTTGGAAATTACCGAATTGATGGGAAGCCCATAGACGGACAACAACCGCTCCTCATCCTCCACCGCCGCCTCCTCCCTCCTCCCTCCTCCCCCTTCCGCGACGAGAGAGAGAGAGAGGTACAGAGAGAGAGAGAGATACAGAGAGAGAGAGAGGCAGTGAGGGCCCCCAGGGGGGGCCAAGGAAGGGCAAGGGCTCCTCCAGCCCGCCAGGCAGTGCTGCGGGGAGCGCGGGGTGCCCGGGGCCCTCCGCGAGCGGGCCGGCGACGGCACGGCGCACGGGTCGCAGCCGTCTGGCGGAGCGCCGTCCAGCAGCGGCTGCCCCCTCGGATTGACGGCGGGCGGAGCAGGGGGTGCAGGGGAAGCGAGTGGGCGAGCGCTGGGGTCACGGCAAGGGAGGAAGCAGAGGAGAATCGGGGGAAGTGGGGGAAACAGGGGAAGTGGGGAAGCAAGCGACGGAGCGAGCGCTCCAGAAACAAAGCCAAGAAGAATTACAACACACGATCAGCCCCCCGACCCAGCCACACCCACATACACAAAACTGACACATACTGCCTGGACCCTCGATTCGAACCCCGCCCCTCCCCTCAAAGTCCAAGGAAGGGAGTCACAATCACCCTAAGAGGCCTCCCGAACATCTGGCCGACTGCACGCCTCGGGGAGCCTCTTGGCCGCGTTTGGGAGAGTTCGGGGAGGCGGGCTCCGGGAATGCGTTTGAAGGTTCTCTCGTGGCCCTCTTCTGTCGTTTCGTAAGCCCCTTGGGTCGTCTGGAGGGCATCTGGAGGCCCGAGAGTCCAGCCCATCGAAAGGGAAAAAGCGAGTTCTTCAGAATATGTAGTTACTTAACGATTTGGATGTCTTGTTGGACTCCTGGAAGCCTCTTAGGGGCATCTTGGATGCTTCTTTGGGGCCTTTTGGTGCTGCCTTGGATTCTCGAGGGGGATTCGCAGGCATTGCTGTATATATATATACACACATATACACATATACATACGTATATATATATATGTACATATGGTAGCCCCCCCACATGATCATACACATTCTTCTTCCATGCATCACATACATCCTCCTCCTCATCCTCCTCAACTCTTCTTCGTTCTCTATCTCTCTCTCATCCCCTTCTCCTCCCCCCTCCTCCTCCTGCAGGAGCGTGGCAGCCTTACAAATGGATCTCAATTTGAAAAGCCTTACACAGGGGTTGCTTTCTGAAGGAAGCCGTCTGACAACAAATCTATTCCTCCAGCACAAAAGGACGTCCCTCCACGAGGAGGAGGCAGGAGGCGAAGGAGGGTTGGAGGAAGAGGAGGTTGGGCACTGAAAAAACCAAACAAACACAAGGAACAACCCAAACAACAAAGAAACCAAAGACCCAGGACTGGAAACAAACACTATAAAACAAAGTGTGTCAAGACTTACCCCGCCCCTGCCGCCCTTACAGAAGCAGTGCTGCAAACTTTGTTTTTTTGTTTGTTTGTTTGGCTGTTCCTTGTGTTGTTTTGGTGTTTCAGCCCTGGGTCTTTGGTTTCTTTGGTTTTCTGGGTTGTTCCTTGTGGTTTGTTTGTTTTTCAATGCACAGAAGGTCTTTGTGGTGCTCTCCCATAGAATCCCGTTGTGGTGCTCCCCAGAAAGAAAAGATTCCTGTTGTGAGGATTTCCCAGGGAATCCCCTTGTGGCGCTTTCCAAAAGATTGCTGTTGTGGGGCTTTCCAGTAGAATCCAAGCGTGGCGCTGTTCAATCCAATGGAATCCGCTTGTGGCAACTTCCGAAGGATTCCATTTGCGAGCTTTCCAATATAATCCACGCGTGGCGTTTTCCAAAGGATTCCTGTTGTGAGGCTTTCCAATAGAATCCCTTTGTGGCGCCTTCCAATCCAATAGAATCCGTTTGTGGTGTTTTCCACAGGGTCCCTGTTGTGAGGCTTTCCGATGGAAACCCTTTGCGATGTTTTCCAAAGGGCTCCTGTTGTGAGGCAATCAATTGGAATCCCTTCGTGGTGCTTTTCCAACGGATTCCTGTTGTGCGGTTTTCCAATAGAACCCCTTGGTTACGCTTCCGAAAGGATTCCTGGTGTGAGGCTTTCCAATCGAATCCCTTCGTGACGCTTTCCAATCCAATAGAATCCCTTTGTGGTGCTTTCCAAAAACGGCTTTCCAATAGAATCCTTGTGTGATGCTTTGCAAGGGATTCCTGTTGTGCGGCATTCATTCCCGGTGTGAGGCGTTCCGATAGAATCCCTTCGTGGCGCTTCCCAGTCCAATAGAATCCCTTTGTGGTGATTTCCACAAGATTCCTGTTGTGAGGTTTTCAATCGAATCTCGTTGTGGCCTTTTCCAATCCAATAGAATCCCGTTGCGGGGCTTTCCAAAGGATTCCTGTTGTGAGGCTTTTCAATGAAATCCATGTGTGGTGGTTTCCAAAGAATTCCTGCTGAGGCTTTCCAATAAAATCCCCTTCGTGGCGCTTTCCAATCCAATATAATCCCTTCGTAATGCTTTCCAAAGGGTTCCTGTTGTGAGGCCTGCCAATAGAAACCCTTTGCGATGCTTTCCAAAGGATTCCTGTTGCAATGCAGTCCAATGGAATCCTTTTGTGGTACTTTTCCCAATGCCTCCTGCTGCGCGGCTTTCCAATAGTACCCCTGTGGCGCTTTCCAATAAAAATCCTGGCGCGAGGCTTCCCAACCGAATCCCTCGGTGCGGTGTGTTCCAAAGGATGCCTGTCATCAGGCTTCCCAATCGAATCCTTTGGTTGTGCTTTCCACATGATTCCTGTTGCGCGGCAGTCATTCTGGGTGTGAGGCTTTCCCATAGAATCCCGATTGTGGCGCCTTCCGAAGGATTCCTGTTGCGAGGCGTTCCAATAAAATCATTGTGAGGTGCGTTCCAAAGGATTCCTCTTGCGAGGCTTTCCAATCGAATCCCAGTTGTTGCGCTTTCCAATCCAATCGAATCCCTTCGTGGTGCTTTCCAAAAGTGATCCTGTTGTGAGGCCTTCCAATAGAAACCATTTGCGATGCTTTCCAGAGGGCTCCTTTTGTGATGCAGTCCAATGGAATCTCTTAATGGTGTTTGTCCGAAGGACTCCGGTTGCGCGGTTTTCCAATCGACTCCGTTTGCGGCGCTTTCCATAATATTCCTGTTGTGAAATGTTCCCATAAAATCCCCTTTGTGGCGCTGTCCAATCCAATAAGAATCCTTTTTGTTGTGCTTTCCCACGGATGCCGGTTGTGAGGTTTTCCAGCCGAATCCTTCGGTTGTGCTTTCCAAATGGTTGCTGTTTCGCGGCAATCATTCCTGGTGTGGGGCTTTCCAATAGAATCCCGTTGTGGTGTTTTCCGGAAGGTTCCTGTTGTGCGGCTTTCCAGAAGAATCCCTTTGTGGCGCTTTCCCTTCCAATAACATCCCTCCGCGGTGACTTTCAAAGGATTCCATGTGGGGCTTTCCAACAAAATCCCATCGTGACGATTTCCAGAGGATCCCTACTGCGAGGCAATACAATAGAATCCTTGCGCGGTGCGTTCCAAAGGATTCCTGTTGCGAGGTGTTCCAATAAAATCATTGTGAGGTGCGTTCCAAAGGATTCCTGTTGCGAGGTTTTCCAATAGAATCCCTTCGTGGCGCTTCCCAATCCAGTAGAATCCGTCCGCGGTGTTTTCCAAAGGGTCTCTGTTGTGAAGCCTTCCCTTTTAATTTTAAAATATTTTATATATATTTATATATATACAATGTTTTCAAAAGGGCTCCTGTTGTAAGGCAATCGAACGGAATCCCTTTGTGCTTTTCCCACGGACTCCTGTGGTGCGCTTTCCAATCGAACCCCTTAGTTACGCTTCCCAAGAAATGCCTGTTGTGAAGCTTTCCAATAACATCCCCTTCGATGCGTTTTCCAATCCAATCGAATCCCTTTGCGGTGCTTTCCAAAGGATTCTTGTTGCGAGGTTTCCCTATAGAATCCTTGCGTGGTGTTTTCCAAAGGACTATTGCTTCCCAATCGAATCCTGTCTTGGTGCTGTCCAAAGGGTTCCTGGTGTGAGGCTTTCCAATAAAATCCTTTTTTGTTGCGTTTTCCAATCCCAAAAGAATCCCTCTGTGGCGCTTTCCAAACCATTCCCGCTAAGAAACCTTGCGCTACCCTGCCGCCCTCAGCCCAAGGTCGCACTGCCCCGCTGAAGGAAGATAAGGGGGTGAGGAGGAGCGACGGAGAGCGGGGAGCAGGTGAGGGGGGGAAGTATATATACACATCCGAAGAATATGTATGATCATGCGGGGGGGCAAACATCTCTACAAAATTATATATATATATATATATAAATATATAAAGATATATATATATATATATATATCAGTAAGCTATCGGGGCCATTACGGAGCCTGCACACGCCGAAGCTTTTATTCACAAGCGGAGCGTCGGAGCAGGCGCAAGCCTACAGGAGACCACTCTCTCACAGCAGTCTCACACGAGCTGAACAGAGCGATTCCGGAGAAAACGAATGACGAGGCGTCGCCAGAGAATCTCTGAGCTGCGTGCCGAGGAATCCGATCAAAGCTCGAGCACTCTCCATTAAACAGAAAGTCAAAAAGGAGCCGCCACAAAGGGCGGGCGGGCGGGGCGGCTACAGACCCAACCCCTCCCGCAGAGGAAAGACAGTTCTCGACAGCACATCTTTCAGTAAGCTAGCGGGGCCATTGCGGAGCCTGCACACGCCGAAGCTTCTATTCACAAGCGGAGCGTCGGAGCAGGCGCAAGCCTACAGGATAACACTTTCTCGCAGCAGTCTCACACGAGCTGGACAGAGCGACTAAGGAGAAAACGAATGACGAGGCGTCGCCGAGGAATTTCTGAGCTGCGCGCCGAGGAATCCGATCAAAGCTCGAGCACTCTCCACCCCTCCAATCTTTATTGTCGTCATTCAGGGTGGGCGAGATGGGACCCTCAAAGGCTTGCCAGCGCTAGACTCCTGATCGAGTTGGCGGCGGCAAGCATCATCTTCTTAAACGAGTCGAGACCTGCTGGGTCGGTGAGTGCAGCGCCTGCTGGGATCTTGTCGCGGATGGCCGCTGCCTGGCGCGGAAGCTTTCTCCCTGTACTTTTCACGCTGAGAGGCGCCGACCAGCGGCCCTTCGTTTGGGGCATCTTGATGTCGAGCAGCTGCAGGTGCATGGCTGAGCTGGCGCCGTCGTGCCACGCCAAGTGCGGGGTGACCCGGTGCGGGCTGGGGACGGCCAGCTGCGCGCCCTTCAGGATGCGGCGCTCGTACTCGCCCAGAGTCAACGGCGGGAAGAGCGGCTGGCATGGGATCGCGCACCCCTGGAGGCTCAAGAATACCTCCGGGGCGAACTCGAAGCCCAGGCCCCCGCGCTCGTCGAGGACGGCGCCGTCGAACACCCCGCGAACGGCAAGCCCCGCTGCCGGGCGCTTGCGCACCGCCGTCAACGTCGACGGCACGGGCGCCCCCACGGCAGCCTCCACGGCAGCCGCGCGCACGGGGTCTGGGGCCACGGAGCTCCCGCGCAGGATGTTCAGCGCCTCGAAGAGCATGGTGAGAGGGTCGCACTGCTTGCCGAACGCTCGGCCGCTGAGCACCGAGCGCAAGGACCCGCCCTCCAGAAGAGCCGCTGCCACCAGCGCCGCCGCCTCGCCCGGGCGGGGGCCCGCGGGCGCCGGGAGGTCGCCCCGGCGGAACCCCTGGAGCGGTCGGCGGCCGCGCGGGAGCACGCTCGGCCCCTCGTCCAAGCCCAACTCGAAGATCTCCCCGAAGAGCACGTCCCTGGCGATGCTGGCCGCCTTTCTGCGCAGGTACAGCTCCTCGAAGAAAGTCACAGGGATCGCGTCGAGTTTGTCCTCGTCCTTGGCCAGCTTCATCACCGGCTGCTCGCGCAGGTCTGCCCAGGTTCGGAACTCGTTGAAGGCTGACGAGTAGCGGACCTTGGTCGTCAGGCCCCAATCGCTGGAGGGCCCGTCCTCGGCCGCGCGGCGGCTGGCCTGCTCCCCGCGGGACTGGCCCGCCGGCATCGCGGCGGCGGGGGGCGCCTCCCTGGCCGTCGGGGCCTGCGCCGCCAAAAGCCGCCCTCTCCGTCGCCACCGCGGCCACTGGGGCGGGCTGCGCCTCGCGCAAGTCCCCGAAGGCCTCGGAGGTCACGCCGCCGCGGGCCGCCTTCTTCTTGGCCACTGCGACCTTCCGTGCAGGGCGAGGGCGCGCGGCGCCAGCAACCAGGCCCAACGCGCCGCCGCTCGGCAGGAACGCGAACACCCCAAGCACAGGAGGCCCGCTCCCAGCCGATGACAAGGGCGGTAGGGCAGCGAGGCGGACGTAGGGCCCCTGGCGCTGCCCCAGCAAGGGCAGCGGCCACCAGGTGAGTCCAGCGCCAGGCGGGCCCGCGGCCTCGGCGAAGCTCATCGTAGCGAGCCCCCGAAGGCGCGGCACGGGCCGCACACCGCGCGATCGCGCGGCAGAGTCGGGGCGGGTACTGCCCAGCGAGTTTGGTAATAACCCAAACGCAGCGGGAATGACGAGCAGAAGTCGGCACGGCGACCTTGCCCTCCAGAAAGATGCGCGGCGCCGTGCAATTACATCTAATCCCGATGGCGAGATCCAGGCCAGGAAGTGTCGAGGCTATACGAGTTGGCATTCGATAAGGTGCCCCAAAGCGGCACATGTCGAAGTCGATGAACGAGAACCCCAACTTGTTGAGAATAGTCTGCATAGGCCTCCACACCCATAACCGCCGCGTGATCGGGCTTTCGACGGCGACGTATATGTTGCATGCTGTACTTGTCCGAGACGGCGAGGACGGCCCGAAGAACGCGAACCGATGCCAGAGCGCAACTTAGCCCAGCGCGGGCCGCTAATGCCTCAGGAGACCCTGTAGAGCGAGCATGGGAGGCCCACGTGCATAGAGTTCCCAGGTGCAACCACCAGACACGGCCCTGACGGATCCACTCGATGATAAGTCCCAAGATGCCAGGGCGGAGGATGTCGAAGTGCGAACCGTTTTCCAGCTCGAAGGGCACAACCACGTCGAGCCCGGCCTGAAGGGCGGCCCCAGACAGATGAGCGCTGCCTGCGAAAAGCTCTAGAACGAAGCGACTGGCGCGACGACCAGCCGGCGGCCGCGCCGCCTCGGGCCCGGCCCCGCCGCGGAGCTCCGCGGCAGCCAGGCCCCTCACGGGCGTCGACGGCGCCACCGCAACCCGGGCCGCCGAGACCAGGTCGCGCTGCAGAAGGTTTGAGACTGCATCAGCTCGTCGTTGTGCATGCTGGCGTGCTGGCCCGCGGAGTGTGAAGGTGTCCCCGGGCGCGAGCTTCCCGCGGTCGCCGAGCCTGGAGTCCTTGTCGGAGGGGTTCGTGTCGCCGCACCTCCGTCGCCAGTCGACCCCAGCCGCCACCTGCCACGCGGCGGCCTCCCGACAGCAGCTGTCGAGGGCGTAGTTGCAGGCACGCCCGCGCTCATGCGCGAGGAGCTCGCTCACACTGTCGCCGAACGAGACCACCACCGCGTCCTGCCCGCCAGCCGAACCAGCAGCCCGCCGCAGCCCCAGCAGCGCCGCGCGCGCCTCCAGCAAGTGGATCGCCTCGCGTCGCCGCCAGCAGCCAGCCACGACCAGCGACCAACGCCCTGCGTGGGTAAGCCGACCCGGCAGCGGTGGCGCCGTGCCCTCCACGCGCTCGAAGCGCCGGCAGGGCGCCCCCAGTCGAGAAGGCGCTGCCACCGCCGCGCTGGGGACGCGGGTGCCCTCCCGCACGGCCCCCGCCATCACTGTCGCCCAGTCCTGACCGGTGTCCGGGCCGATGGCCGCTGCAGCCGGCACGTCGCGGGACTCGCGGTCGACGTGCTCCAACACCTCGCGGAAGCGCCACCGCTCCTTCCACTGGGCCACGTCGAAGAAGACCTCGGCCAGCCCAGCTGTGGTCTCGTGGAGCGCGTGCCCGAGCACGGAGGCATCCGAACACCAGACGGTACGGCACAGTGGTCCCCTCAGGTCAGCGTCCGCAAAGGGCAGCATGGACCGCGCGACCCACAGCTCGCCCCAGACATCGGCCGGGAAGATGCGACCTTGCCCAGCTGCTCGCGCGAGAAAACGCACACCCTCTGCAGGATGGACAGCAGCGGCGGCCGCAGCCCGAAGTGGTGGCAGAGGTGACCGCAGAGCACCCGCATGGCGTCGCCCGACAAGCGTCCCAGAGTCAGGACGCGGCCGAGTGCCGACCATAGGCGCCAGCAACGCTTCTGCGCGTGGCGCAGGCGGCGACGCGGCCCGTCCAGCACGAGGCCCAGGAACTCGAAAACTGGCTCGCCGTCGACGTGGTCCCGAAGAGCGAACCCTCGTCGTCGCAGTGCGCCCAACACGAGGTCGAAGACTCGCCGGCCCTCGTCGCGCCCCACCGCCAGCATGTTCGCGTTGTCGACGCACGGCGCCAGGGCTGGCACGCGCGGCCCGAAGCACGCAGGCCGCTGACGGTCACCGACCAGCACATCGGGCAGCCCTGTCTCCCGCAGCGCCTCGCGCATGCACTCCGAGATAGCCTTGTTGCAGAAGTAGAGCGCCCACGACCAGCCCATGGCCATACCGAGGAAGCACGCCTCGGGGACTTCGGTCGGTTGGACGGGGTCGGCGGCCTGCAAGTCGTCGTCGAACACGTCGTCGAGCGCGATCCCAAACTCGTCGGCGACGCTAGAAGCCGCACCGGTGTAGCCCAGGCCAAACATGGACGCCAGAGCCTCAAGCTTGAACTGGTAGAGGCCGTCGGTCAGGTCGATCGAGAACCCGACCAGCTCATCGTCGCCCGGCGAGTCGAGCTCCGCCTGCGCCACGCGCCCGAGCCTCTCCTGGACCACGCGGAAGGACTCGTCGCTGGCCGAGAGCCTCGCGAGGGCCCCCGGCACCGCCAGCTGGCTCAGCGGCGGGGCGCGGCACATGCTTTTGGCCCACCTCGCGTCGATCACCAGCCGAAGCATGGAGTCCTTCTTCTTGACGAAGAAGCACCCAACTCGGCACCGAACACGTCGCCGCCAGGTAAGCAGCCCCGCAGCGGACAACGCCCGCAAGAACTCCAACTTCTGCGCCCGGCTGTTCCTGAGGATCGGGTCCCAGTACGGCTGCCCGCGGAGCGCCCCCGAGTCCACGTCAGCGCGGAGCTCGGCGTCCGACTTCAGGATGTGCACATGCGGGGCGTCAATCAGCTTTGCGGCCTCTGGCGACGTGACGGACGCCGCGTCCTTTGGGACCAGATCGCCTTTCGACACCCTCAACTTGTCGATGTCGTAGGACCCCAGCGCGGCGCCAGCCGCCACGGCGTAGAGGTCGTCGGAGTGGAACAAGTCCACGAGAGCGCCCTTGCCCGAGGGCACGCTCCAGTCGGCCAGCAGCGGACTGGAGGACACACGCAGCCGCTCGACCGCCTGGCGTTGCCAGGGGGAGAGGCGCGCGAAAGCGAGACTGCTCGCGCGATGCCGGTGAAGGAGTGGCAACCGAGGATGCGCCTCCACCAGGGCAAACAGCGCCACGGCAGCGTCCGAGACGAGGAGGTCCGGGCACTGAGCGACGTCGTTGACCAGCGAGACTCGCCGGCGCGCCGACGACTGGCCCGACCCCTTGGAGATCAAAGGGAAGGGCAGGGATGCCTCGAATAAGTCCCGGGGAAGCTGAGGCACCACTTCCCCGGGGCCGCAGCCGGCGCTCAGCCGCCGCCCCCGCTCCCGGAGGAGCCGCCCTTGTTCTTGTCCTCGTCGTTGTTCCTCGGGCCCTCCTAGTCCCTGGCGTTTACCAGCAGCTCCTCGCGCGGCAGCCTGTTCTGCTTGAGGGCGCGCCCCACATGCTCCGCGGGCGTCGCCATGCGCGCCGTGAACTCCCGCATCGCCAGGCCGCCCCCCTCGTGCAGCGCGTGCTCCGCCATCTTGGCCAGCCCCTGGACGAACGGCACCTTCGGGATCACCCGCTCCGTCCGCTCGATCTGCAGCCCGCGCCGCGCGAACGGCTCGAGGCTCGCCAGATCCCTGGCATCGAGGCAGTCGCACACCAAGGCCAGCGCCAGCTCGTGGCAATGGACGCGGTGGTCCAACGCGACGCTGCCCTCCCCGCGAACACCCGCCTGACGCACCCAGTGCGCGTGGTAGGTGAACAGCGCGAGCCCGAGCGCCACTACCCCGCGGACGAACCCGGACACCCCCCGCGGCCTCCAATGGGGCCAGGCGACGATCTTCGCCAAGTCCGTCGCCCAGAAGTGGTCGGCCGCCTGCGAGAGCGGAACGAGCCCCGACACGAAGTCGCTGCCGCGCGCGGGGAGGTGTCGGCGATCCCGCCCAGCTCCACTCGGCTTGTCGCGCTCGTAGATGGCGTACTTTGGACTGGGCACCAACTCCGCGAACCACCACCGCCGAGCCTCGCCCCAGCTGACGAGGGCCACGGCGCTCTTCACGACGCCAGCGATCGCCACCTCGTCCGACGGCACCTTCAGCCCGAACCTGAGCGAGCTGGTGTCTCCGTCCCGCCAGCACACCCCGCTGCCAGCCACGAGCCCCCCTGCGAACTCCTTCGTGCCCATGATGACGGCCTGCCGCGTACCCGCAGCGTGGTGCCCCTGCAGCTCGTCGAAGGTGAGCGCCGTGACCATGCCGCGGCCCCCCGCGACCCGCGCCGGCACCGCCGCGCCTCGCCCCAAGGGGAGCAGCCCGAACCCGCTGGGGTCCACGATCTCGAGCCCGCCATCGGGGTCGAGGGCGACCATGCGCGACTCCCTGATGCGCCGCAACGGGAGCCTGTGCTGCCACGTCTCTGTGTAGCCCTCGATACCCGCCAGCACCTGCGGCTCGCCGACGCTCAGCCCCCAGGCAGCACGACGATCCCCGGCGCCGCCGCCGCCAGCCGCCACCACTCCGAGGCGGCCTGCTGGCCAAGGAGCTGCCGCAGCTCCTCGTCGTCCGCGCCCACCGGGCACGTGCACTCGGTGGCGTCGGGTTCCCCGTCCCACGCCGCGTGCGAGCCCTCCATGGACGCGACGCACGCCGCGTGCCAGTCCCCAACGCGCAGTGACCAGCCCAGCCGAGCGTCGCCGCAAGGACCGAGGTCAGGGCCCCCCAACCTGGGTCCATCAGGCGCCGCGCGAAGCCCGGGAGCTAGAGCCAATGCGGCTACAGACCCAACCCCTCCAGCAGAGGAAAGACAGTCGTCGACTGCACACACATACACATATATGTGCGTATACATATATATTTATGTGTGAGTGAATATATATATATATATATATATATATATATACATATATATATATATATATATGTATGATAAGACATGTATATACATGGGTATATATATACACATCTATACATATTAATGTGTGTGCATACATATACGGGTGCATATGTGTACATATATCTATATATATATATAGATATACACACATGCGCATGTATCCGCGGGGCGACCTCTGAGAAAAACTGTCTGAATCAACGTGCCTTCGGCGCGTCAGCACGCAACGAACACGTCACGAAATACGGCCCGCAAGTGCGAGCGAAAACTGACGAGGAGGACGAGAAGGACGAGGCTCGCCTCACGCCTGCGAAATCCGACAGGCTGGGCTCTCTTCTGAAATCGTCTGGGTCGGTTTGGGGAGCTCGTGACGGCTTGGAACAGTCTTGGTGGCCTCTGGGGCTCCTCTCGGAGCTCTCTCGGGCAACTTTGGGGCCCTCCACCAGCTTCAGAGGCGGCCGCCGAAAAGAGGAGAAGGAGTCAGAAACATCAGCAGTGTCAAACTGATCACCGTCACCATCATCGTCACCCTCACCATTCTCATCGGCATCCGCATCTTCAGCATCGTGATCATCACCATCTGCATCGTCGATGTCGTCCTCGACAGCAACAGCATCATCATCAACGCCATGAACACCATGGGCAGCACCAGCATCATCATCATCATCATCAGCATCATCACCACCAACATCACCAACATCAGCAACAGCATCATAATCATCAGCATCATCACCGTCACCACCATCATCATCAACAATATCATTATCATCACCACCGCCATCTTCAACATCATCAGATACATCAGCATCATCATTCTCATCACCACGATCAGCATCATCACCACCACCATCAAAATCATCAGCGGGAGCGGGAGGACATACGGGTCACCTAACCCACGGGACCCGACGATCTATGTGCCCCCTTCTCTCTCGCTCTCTCTCTCTCATGTCTCTCTCTCTCTCTCTCTCTCTTTCTATATATACAAGTGGCACGTGTGTGCCCAGGCTCATACAAACAAAAAAAAAAAAAAAAAAAACTGAAAGGGCGTTTGGAGCAGGAAGACACCATGACGGCGGGATCGGAGATGGAGAAGGGGAAGCTGGCGCGGCGCCGCCAGGGCGTGCCAGGAGGTGAACGCCGAAGAATCTAAGATCGAGTACGAGCCCCTCCCAAAGGATTGGGTATCGAGCTGGAGGATCGACGAGGGCAATGCCTCTCCGAGGTCAGCGTTGCGAGGATGTCTCAAGCGAAAGTGGCCTGACCATCATGGGGCAGGGCATCTCGGAATCCAGAATTGCGAGGATGTCTCAGGCAGCAGTGGCTAGACCTCCTCATTCCAGGGCATCTCGGAGCCCAGAGTTGCGAGGATGTGTCACGCGAAGGTGGCAGGACCCTCATGGGGCAGGGCACCTCCGAGGTCAGAGTTGCGAAGGCATCTTAGGCGGAAGCGATCTGACCACCTCAGCTCAGGGCGTCTCGGAATCCAGAGTTGCGAGGATGTCTCAAGCAAAGATGGCCAGATCACCTTAAGTCAAAACATGTTGGATCCCAGAATATCGAAGATGTGGGTCACGCGAAACGCGGCGGAACTTTCCGAGAGACGCATCGTGGTACCTGGAGTAGCGAGGATGTCCCACGCGAGACTGCCCAGATCATCCCAAATCGTCGCATATCGTTGCCCAGACTTCTGAGGATGTCTCAAGCGAAACGGGCCTCCTCCTCCTCCTCCTCCTCTTCCGCCTCTTCCTCCTCCTCCTCCTCCTCCTCCTCCTCCTCCTCCTCCTCCCTTCTCCTCCTCCCTCTCTTTCTCTTCCTCTTTCTCCTTATCCTCCACCTGCTTCCCTTTTACGTTTCTACGCGGGTTGCGAACGCCTACTCCTCCCCGTCCTCCTCTACGTCCTCATCCTCCGCCTTCCCCTTGCGTTTGGTTCCCTCCACGCCGCCTGCTCACCCTCTTCGTCCTCCTTCTCCTCCTCTTCGCCGTCGTCGTCGTCGTCCTCCTCCTCCTCCTCCTCCTCCTCCTCTTCCGCCGGCCGAGCCGAGCCGGCGGGCGGACCGGCCGAGCCGGGGACGACGACGACGACGACGACGACGGGGCATGCACGTGCTCGCGTGCGCGCGTGCGCGTGTGTATGTCTGTAAGAGCAGTGCCGACGGGAGCTTGGGCTCGAGGCCTTCGCGACCCCTTGCCTGCTTTGTCCAGAAAACGGAAATTCTTGCCACCTTTGTCTGTGTTGCCTTCTTTTCGGACGCCGGGCCCTGCAAACGAACACGGCCCTGCAAACGAAACAAGGCGTTGAAAGCGAAACAAACTCCTGAACGACGGACAGTCGGGCCACCAACACGGGCGCGCCAGGCACATAATGACACACGCAGAATGATGAGAAGCGCCGCAGGGAAGATGTGGAACGATGTTGCCAAGCGTTCTACTGTTGGAGGGGGCGGCTGTCGACAAAGGGAGGGACAAAGAGAGCAAATGTTGTATCCCGACCAGGAAGCCGGAAGAGGCTCCAGATGGCTCGCCACAAGCACACGAACATATGGCACCAGTGATGCAAGATGGCCTGGCGGAGTGAGGGAAGCGATTAACAAGAGAAGTGTAAGCCCCATTCCCACCAGCCGATTTGTTTCACTAGATGTGGAGTGAAATGCAATAGCGAGGTCGCACTCGAGCGCAAGTGGGGCTGCCACACCTTGCGATGTGTGTACCAGGGGCCCCCAAAGAAGCCTCAGGAGGGCCGACCAGGAAGCCGGAAGAGAGTCCAGCTGGCTCGCCACAAGCACACGAAGATATAGCACCAGTGATGCAAGATGGGCTGGCGGAGTGAGCGAAGCGATTAACAAGAGAAGTGTAAGCACCATTCCCACCAGCCGATTTGTTTCACTAGATGTGGAGTGAAATGCAATAGCGAGGTCGCACTCGAGCGCAAGTGGGGTTGCCATGCCTTGCGATGTGTGTGCCAGGGGCTCCCAAACAAGCCTCAGGAGGCCCGACCAGGAGGCCCCTGGAGGCTCCAGGAGGCCCCAAGAGGTTCCAGGAGGCCACAGGAGGCTCCAGGAGGCCACAGGAGGCTCCAGGAGGCCCCAAGAAGCTCCAGGAGGCCGCAGGAGGCCCCAGGAAGCTCCAGGAGGTTCCAGGAGGCTCCCAGGAAGCCCCCAGGAGGCTCCGAGGCGGAGTCTGGACTACCAGAGGGTACGTCGGGGCTCGATTTGGGGAGGATGTCTCAAGCGAAACCGCTATTCTCCGAGAATCGGGTTGAAAATCATTGAAATGACTCCTGGAGGCTCCAGGAGGCACCAGGAGACCCCTTGAGGCTCCAGGAGGCCCTAAGAGGCGGCCCCGACCCCAGGAGGCCCCAAGAGGCTCCAGGAGGCCACAGGAGGCTCCAGGAGGCCCCACGAGGCTCCAGGAGGCCGCAGGGGGCCCCGGGAAGCTCCAGGAGGTTCCAGGAGGCTCCCGGGAGGCCCCCAGGAGGCTCCGAGGCGGGGTCTGGAATACCAGAGGGTACGTCGGGGCTCGATTTCGGGAGGATGCCTCAAGCGAAACCGCCATTCTCTGAGAATCGAAATCAAAATCATTGAAATTACAATGAGTTTTTAAAGGTTGTATGTTGAAATGTTGAAATTCTTATGTGTTTTTGGACCCTGACGTCACGATCTGTGTGAGGGGTGCCACCGATTTTCAGAATTTCGAGGATGTCCCTAGCGAAATGGCCAGAAAAATCGCGGACGACGCGTACGCATGAATCGCCTCTGAGCTCTACTCCCTCGGAGAGGTGCGTATGATTATATATATATATATATATATATATATATCCCTCTCTCTCTCTCTCTCTCTCTTCCCTCACCTGCCCGCGCGCACCTACTTTCCAACACCAAAGTTTTGCGAGGCGCCGCAGACACGCACCACCGCGGGCAGCGCCGCAGCCGAGAGGCCGCACGGCAGGGCCACACAAGGGACCTCGGAGCGCAGCTGCGCCACGCCGACAGCTGAGCCTCGCCGATGGACGAACTCGGAAGGCGCCGCCACGCTGAAGGACCCGCAAGGGCCACGTGGCCACCAGGGGCCACGCCACCGCACAGACGGGGCGTGGCCACGCTGGGGCCATCCTGAGGCCAGGCTCCACGCCAAAGCGACCTCGGGACGGCCGCGCGACGGGCAAACGACTCTCCCGCCACACGAGGGCGGGCCACACTTTCCACGCACCCCTTCCCGGCCCCAACCCGCCCCTTTTTTTCAAAAGGTAACGCAGCAGCACCCCCACAGGGGAGGTCTCCCCCGCATCTCCAGGGGGCCGAATGGCGGTAACACGATATTGCATCATCTGAACGTGAATTCGGCTCCCTTGAGCTCATACGTCTGAAATAAAGGTTTGCCCTAGCACAACAAAGCTTTTTGCTGTTGGCTCGGGTCAAAAGCAAACTGCAAAAGAAGCTGCAACCTTCAGAATTGTATACTCTCGCAGTCCGACTGCCCCTCCACCGGCCAACTTGCAAGGTTGCTGGCATATTCTGCGACGTCTTGTAAAAATGAACGGTACCCCGTCGTCTGAGGGAATGCGGCTTGAGA